TTCTATCTGTTATGTACTTTACAATCACTGTCGATTTTAATTATATATTCATTGAAACATCACACAAAGAAATATACGGCGATTTATTAATACACGACCCGTTCACTCGAGGATAGCAAGTAGTCGACTCACTTTAATACCGAATTTATTAATTAATAATTATCAGTGTCGATTAATTATTCGTATTGATTAATTATTTTTCGACTAAAAAAATCACTCGAACTAAAAAATTTTTTTTACGAAATTTGACAAGTTCCATGGCGCAAATTAAAAATGGCATGCAAATGCAGTTTACAGCTTTCGAAAGAGTGAATCTTTACCTTTAATTCCTTTTTTGTTGAGCGTTGTACGATTATTTTTCACCGAGTTATTCGACATTGAAGCAAAAATGGTCCTGTTTGCTTCAATGTTGAATAACTACGGTGAAAAAAAAATACGTACAACGCTACAACTAAAAAAGAAAATTAAAGATTAAAGATTCACTCTTTCGAAAGCAGTAAACTGCATTTGTGTGCGATTTTTAGTTTATGCCATTGAAACCTTTTAAATTTAGTACACATTTTTGAAGATTTGTCGCATTTTCATTTGGACCTATGTAATTCCATAAAAAATCAATAGGATCGTTTTCTAAAGTGTCGATCTGAAAAGTAGAGATTTCAAGCTGTAAAATGCTTTTTTGAACATCTCGATATAATCATTTTTGACGAAGTTACACTCATTTGAAGCTTGTCAATTTTAAAATTACAGAATACATATACCAAAAATAAAAGCTCACCTTAGGTACTTTACAATCCAAAAATAGGCAAAATTCAAGAGTGTTACTTCATCAAAAATGATCGTATCAAAATGATCAAAAAAACATTTTACAGCTTGAAATCTCTACTTTCCAAATTGAAGCAAAAAGGATCATTTTTGCTTTAATGTTCTCTCTAAATTTTCTAGAGTGAATCTCACTCCAAAAAAGTGAAATCTCACTTCAAAAGAGCGAAAATACTGTCACTCGGCCACTTGAGTGGCAGTATTTTCACTCCTTAGAGTGAAATTTCACTCCAAAAAATTTAGAGAGTTGAATAACTTGGTGAAAAAAAATCGTACAACGCTCAACAAAAAAGCAAATTAAAGGTAAAGATTCACTCTTTCGAAAGTTGTAAACTGGATTTGCATGCGATTTTTAATTTGCGCCATTGAACTTGTCAAAGTTCGTAAAAAATTTTGAGATTCGTCGGGTCTCCTTTTCTATCCGTGTAATTCCATGAAAAATCAATAGGCTCGTTTTCTAAAGTTCCGATTTGAAAAGTAGAGATTTCAAGCTGTAAAATGCTTTAGATCGGAAGAGCACA